GGAGAGGAGCGTGCCGTTGGTGTGGCATGCGGGTGCGAAGGGGACGGCGAGCTGGGCGGAGGTGAAGAATCCGAAGGTGGGGATTGGAAGGGATTGGAGTGTTGTGTTCCCGAAGCCGTAGAGTAAATAGAGTTGGATAGTGTGGATAGTGTGGATAGTGTGGATGAGAAGAATAGAGAGATTTAAGAATGAGAATTTAGATTGTGCTAAAGCAAGACTAAAAGCTAAGAAAAACAATTGCCCAAACTATGAAAGCCATTATGCATAAGCCAAAGCCAAATCAGCCCCCTAAAGCTAAACAATATTAACAACCGCCCTCCCTCTCAAAACCCATCCCTGTCCTCCCCTATGCACCATCGCCGCCACAACCTCATCCCACTCCACCTTCCCCGCCTCCTCCTCCCCAGCATTCCCACTCAAATAATGCTGCTGAATCCTCGACGCCGACGCCTTCGCCTGCGCCACCACCATACGTCTCGCAACCTCATTCGCCTCCCCCAACGACACCAGTCTCCTCTTCAGCACTCCCCCATCAGCCTCCACCCTCTCCGCCGNNATATTCCCCTTCAGCAATTTTGCCTTCATCCTCTCCTTGGAATCTTCCGATGCTGCCTCTTGGGGCTTGAACTCACGCCAATCCTTCGTCTCTAGCCCCTCGTTGTAGATTTCATTATTTCGCCACTGGGATACGCGTGATCTCGCGCTCGACTTGAGCCCCTCCACCGTTGCACTTTGCAGCTTCTGCTGCGCTAGCTCCAAGGCAGTAATACCCGTTGCGTTCTCGCGGCCCAGCGTCTGGGGGTTCTGCAACAGGAACTCGCGCACGTGAAGTGGGCGGCCTTGCTTAATAGCCACGTGCAACGGAAGGTCGCCGACCGAGTTCATGATAGTCAAGTGCTGGCCCTCGGTGTAGGAGGACACAGTCTCGGGGATGGTAGATGAGTGGGGGGATTCGCCGCGTGAATCGGCGTCGCATTGCGACTGCCAGAGGGCGAAGGGAGTAAAGCCTAGGATGTCGCGCTCGAGGAGCATCTCCGTCACATCTCTCTTCTTGAAGAGGGAGAAGAAAGAGGCGAGGGTGTTGCGCTTTTCCCATTCTGTTGTCCACGTGGAACTCCTTTCTCCGGTGCAGATGAGATGGTGGATCATGTTGCGGCCGGTGGCGTCGCGGCTGCGGACCTTGGAACCCAGTGCGAGGAGGGCTTCAATGACGTCCTTGGAACGGCGGGTGCATGCGAGGTGCAATGGCGTGAAGCCACCCAGGGAGCGGCTTTCGAGGAGGGAGGCATCGGCTGTAGCTATGTATTTGACGAGTTCCATGTGCTCAGGCAGGTCGTCTTCCGATGGTGTCGTCATGACTACAACATGAAGGAGGAGTTCATCTACTTTTGTTAGCATATTTATACCTATTAGTGGACGATGATAACTTACGACGCATGCTAAGCCATTTCGTAGCAGTCCCCTTGAAGCCGTTCTCAGAATTAGATAGCGCCACCACCCGCTTATCATTCTCATTTGTAGCAGCAAACTCAAGGTACTTAATCGTAGGAAGATCGCTCAAGAACCACTGTACGGACGCGAGATTTCCCCATTTTGCAGCTTTCAGGAGAGGCGGCGTTGTCTCTTTCACCCTGTAGATGTAGCCATCACCGTTCGGATTCCCTGCCTGAGCCCATCTAGCATTCTTCTTCCCGCCAACGTTCAAACCTTGATAGTACTGTGGCTTCTCCTCCGGAAGCTTGATACCACTCGACTCAACAAGATGATCAAGCGGAATCCCAACGCCAGTTCGCCTGATCATTTCCCCAAGAATTTCGGTACGCCCCAGTCTTATGGCTTGGTCAAAGTTATACTGTGTCAGAGCCTCGATAGGGGATGGCGACTCGTTGGGGAAGTGAACAGCTTGCTCCTCGGCGATTTGATAGAGAAACTTGAGAAGTTTGGTGTCGTTAGTGACTATAGCGTAGTGAACCAAGCTGCTCTGTGTCCCAATGACGTCCTCTTTTGGGCGCTCTTTCTCGTCTATGAACCAACGAGCATTGCATGGCCAGTGCAGCATGTCCGAAGGCTTAACATGGCTCTTGATAACCGTTGAAAGAGCGGCAACGTTATCAATAGTGAACACCTCATCAACAAGCTCACTACGAAGGCCAATCTGTGAGTGGTCATCGTCATCAGAATCCTCAGAATCCGAACCGTGGTCGGAACAGCAGCCAGCCTGGTCGTAATCAATGCTCCATTTGCTCTTTCCTCCCTCGTTGTCCCGTGGTTCGTACTGCGCAAGCGCAATTTCAACAATTACCTTGGCCATCCTGTAATGCGAAGGTCCCCGGAGAACTGCAAGTGAGAATGGAGACACGCCTGTAAACCCCTTTCGTGTGAAGCCTAAGCTGGAGCTGTAACCAAAGCTATATCGGCTTATTTCAGGGATAGAGTCTTTAACAGCTATCTGCAAAGCCGGGTGTTCTTGTCCATCCTCGCTCTTCCAAGGTCTAAGAGTTAACGATTTAACCTCGTCAATGTCGTTACTCCAGACAGCTTCAAACAGTCTAAAATAGCCTTCCATGAGATAGTCGCTTAAAGCTGGCACGCTGAATGAGAAGAGTGTCGCGTATATGCTAACATCTGCATTAGACGATGGGTCTGGTTTGCGATGGTCGTTTGCCGCATCCAAAAATTTAATGTGGGAGTGAGCTTCTTGGAACGTCTTTGCTCCAGCTCCAATAAGAGTCTCTTCAAGCTCTTCATATTGGGCGATGAGCGACTGAATCGCCGACATCTTCGCGTCCACAGCAGATTCGAAGTCACTCGCAACTTCAAGGCTTTTCTTATAAGATACCCATTCCGCGTCATTTTCAGCCTTGACATGCCTGTATCGGTTTAGCGCGGTCCAGTGTTTATATGTTCCCGGCTTAAGATCCTTGAGGTAATATGCCTCCTCTTGCAAGGTGGTCGGCACCTTATTTGCTGGCCATTCCAACCTTTTGTGCTCCTTCAAACTTCTGAGTTTTCGCTGCACCACGTCAAGAACAGTAGTTGCTGCGATCGAGTTATAACTATATGTCGCGGTAAGAGCTGTCTGGCCGGCGATGGTAATTGTGCTGGGATCGGCACCATGGGCAAGCAGTGCTGCTGCCATCTTCGGCAGTTCGCGTACGGCAGCAACGACGATAGGCTGCGAGCACATCGTTTTATACGTCTTCAAGTTCTGTTCGGCGGTGTTGTTCTTGGCGTATTCGTTTTTAGCGAAGTAACACTTGATGAAGTCTTCGAATGAGATCCCTGGCTTAGCACCGAGGGAAAGCAACTTCTCTAGCAACTTGTCACCGCCTTCCTGGATGGCCATGGAGACCATAGTCCTGGCTGACCTATAATCCTCCATGGTAACAAGGTTAAGAACACTTTTCAC